ACATTGGTATATGATGTGTAATATCAATAATATTTAGCAACATTTGTTTATAAGGACATATATGGATTCAAGGGTTCAGTTCATTAAATTTTGGTAGGATTGAAATACAAACATATCTATTAAACATTTGGATTACTTTAGAAAATTCCTTTATGCCTCTTCTCATCAATTCCCTCACACATTGAGAGGGAAGCATTTCATGATTATAATTGTACTGGATTAGTTTTATTTGAGTTAGAATTTACCCTTTACAAATACACAATTGATATATTACTTATTATCTAGATTATTTTACTAATGATAATTATTTTTAATGATTGTATCAGTAATTTTCTCTTTTTAAAATTATGGAGTCATATTAATAAGGTACTGAAAATTCTCCTAGGGGCAGAGTCATTGTAGAAAATTCTCCAATCTTCTAGGGGCAGTGGGGAAGGCATTTGCCTTACATGCAGCTGAACTGTGTTTGATCCCTGGTATGCCATGTGATCCCTGGAGCACTGCCAGGCATAATTCCTGAGTGCAGAACCAGGAGTAATCCCTGAGCATCATCGGGTGTGACTCCCAAACAAACAGAAATTCTCCTATTGATAGAAAATTGAATTGTTTCTAGTGTAAATCTATTATAAATAAAGCTACTATAAACAGTCTTCTACAGGAATTTTGTGACATTTGATCTTTTAGAAATTTCAAGGTATGAAATTTCTGGATCATAGCACAGATTTGTTTTGTAACACTTTGCCAAAGAGTTTTCTTAAGAAGTTGCATGATTTTATGCTTCAGCAATGAGTAAGAGTTCTAGTTGCTTCATATCTTTACTAACATTTAGAGGTTGTCATCTTTTTAATTTTAGCTCTTCTATTAGGTATAATAGCTCCTGGGAGAGAACAAGACAGAGTCTCCTACCCTATGCCTGACTGTCTCCACCAGGGCCCAACAGCTGAAGACCACCGAGGCCCAGCCAAGGCCATGCTGGGAGCACTCTCCACACACTTGGATGAGCCTCACGCATAAAAGAACTGACAGAAGAACCCAGATGTGTGGGACCCGGGGCTGAGATCTCCAAGCCTGCACAGTTTGGGACTGGACCTGCCAGTAACTAGACAGTTACACCCACCAACTGCCATATAACTCCAACAACGGCCAGGATCCAGAGATCATCACACTCAGCTCCTGGGAGAGAACAAGACAGAGTCTCCTACCCTATGCCTGACTGTCTCCACCAGGGCCCAACAGCTGAAGACCACCGAGGCCCAGCCAAGGCCATGCTGGGAGCACTCTCCACACACTTGGATGAGCCTCACGCATAAAAGAACTGACAGAGGAACCCAGGTGTGTGGGACCCGGGGCTGAGATCTCCAAGCCTGTACAGTTTGGGACTGGACCTGCCAGTAACTAGACAGTTACACCCACCAACTGCCGTGTAACTCCAACAACGGCCAGGATCCAGAGATCATCACACTCAGCTCCTGGGAGAGAACAAGACAGAGTCTCCTACCCTATGCCTGACTGTCTCCACCAGGGCCCAACAGCTGGAGACCACCGAGGCCCAACCAAGGCCTTGCTGGGAGCACTCTCCACACACTTGGATGAGCCTCACGCATAAAAGAACTGACAGAGGAACCCAGGTGTGTGGGACCCGGGGCTGAGATCTCCAAGCCTGTACAGTTTGGGACTGGACCTGCCAGTAACTAGACAGTTACACCCACCAACTGCCGTATAACTCCAACAACGGCCAGGATCCAGAGATTATCACACTCAGCTCCCAGATATCACACTATCAACATCTTATCATCTCATTTCTAATTCGGTCAAACTGGCAGGCTACCAAAGGTAACATGCCCACACGGCAGAGTCTGGCAAACTCCCCGTGGTATACCCAATATGCCAAATACCAGTAACAATGATGGGTCTCATTCTCCTAACCCTGAAAAAGCCTTGAATATGGCACTTTAAAAAAAAAAAATCTCAGGACTAGGACGAAGAAGACGTTACTGGCACCTGCTCGAGGCAATCGACGAACAACAGGGTGGTCGTGATCGTGATTAGGTATAAAATGGATGCAAGCCAAACCCTTTATTCTGTCTAGTATTATTATGACCTTTTAAAAATTTAACCCATATGTAGTTACTTTGAGACATTTATTTTACTGACTGTAAATTCTAATATACCTAAGATATTACCTTATCACTTTTATGGTACCCTAAAGGCATAATTTTGTATTTAAATCAGAGGAGGCATTGTATAAATAAATAGTAAATTTTTCTTTGGAAACTTCTGCATTTTAATTTTTTTACTTCCTTTGTCAACTTTAGACCCATAGCATAAAAACCATAGTCAGAGGAAGAGTGTATCTGATGATATATCCCAGAATACAATTGCAAGATCATAAATAAACCTAGATTAAAAGAAGGTTAGAAGGACCAGAGAGATAGTACACAACAGGTAGGGCTCTTGCCTTGTGTGTAGCTGATTTGAATTTGATCCTGGGCAACACATATGATCTCCAGCACAGAGCCAGAGGTATGCCCTGAGCACACAGGGTATGATCAAAAACAAACAAATGAACAAAAAACACCAACATAAATAAAAATTGAAAAAAATTAGAAAATAAGATTATATGATGTATATTGCATTGATGTAAATGTACATCACCATCATACTAGGAGTATTAAAAAAACTCAGTTGCCTACATCTCTAATGTAGCTATTTGGATTCTTTTGTTCTGAACCTCTCCCCCTCTCGGAGAGCCTGGCAAGCTACCGAGAGTATATCGCCCGCACGGCAGAGCCTGGCAAGCTACCCGTGACGCACTCAATATGCCAAACACAGTAACAGCAAGTCTCATGATGGAGACGTTACTGGGCCCGCTAGAGAAAATCGATGAACAATGAGAAGACCGTGATTCCGTGATAGATCTTTTGTATATGTGTTTGCCTTTATGTTTCAACTAGCATCTAGGTCACTGCTATCAGTATAATGGAGTGAAGAAAAGAGATTAAGACAAAAGTATAGTTATTTTGTTTCCTTCAGATGATAACTAAATATGTTTCACTCTATGAGTGAATAACTGTTGTAGTTAACCCTATTATAAACAAAATATTACTTGATTAACCTTTCTGTATTTTTTATCTTTTCCCAAGTAGAGTGTAACTTGGATCATCAACTATCTGCCATTCCAAATAAGAGCCTTTCACAACTGTGTTTAAATAAAAGAAAATTTTGATTTTCTTTTAGTGAAATCACTTCTTGAACCCCTAAATAATGTTTATTCTAAATATGAATTCCCAAATTGGTGAGAATAACATGAATATAGACATAACAACTGATAAAATAGGCAGGATAACGTCATATGGTCTTACCAAAGGCTGGCCAAGTTTGAGTGTGTGATGAATTTAAGATGTGATATAAGGGGGGCTGAGAGGTAGTACAGTGGGTAGGATACTTGACCCCTGAGCACTGCTGGTTATGACCCCAAACCCCACTCCATACCCCTTCCAAATAAAAGTGAAATCAGGCTGAGGCTCATGTGCTGGGGAAGCCCTGAGTTTAATCCCCAGTACCAAGTTTGCCTCAAGCACAGTCATATGTAAATCTAGTTCCAAGCACTAACCACAATTTTTTAAAAAAGTGAAACCATTGTATTTTGAATTTACTTTGACTTGGATGTCATAACTGAGTGATAAATATGAGGGAACTTCAATAATTTCTTTAGAAAACATGGCCTTGAATTTGCCTCTAGCGCGTTCATGTTCACATATCTGTTTATGGTGGTTCAGGCATAGTTATATCTCATCTCATACACTCAGTACAAACAGACTTTTCATTGCATCTAGAAGTTGGGAAGGAAGGTTCATTTTAAAATATTTTTTTTTCTCTCCCATGGGATAATTGTTCTTTGATTTGAGACTCTGTTAGGGGGGTATAATAGAATTAGGATAACTCTTTCTCAAGTCTCTGTCACTTTTCTACACTTCAATTTTTCTCTTTTATTGAAGATATAGGGAAATGCCAAGGATGTGGACCAAGAAAAAGTAGAGTAGGGAAGGCAGGAGAGAAAGACAGTGAGAAGGAAAGAGTAAAAACAATCATCTATTAGCATATAAAAAGTATGCATACACATGTGTGTGTACATATAAATGTGAGTATATATATATATATATGGTGTTCTAAGATTAGGAATAAAAATAGAAAAATAAATTTTATATTAAGAGAATGATGATATAATTCAAAATTTTATTTTATAAATAAGAGAATTGAATATGAGAAAAATTAAAGAATTTACACAAGGTGATGTAATGAGTCAGGTCTAAAGCTAGACAAGAGAATTTAAGTATCTAACACTCCCTTCTTTTAAGCACGTTCCATTCTTTTAAGCATGTTCTCATGCTTAAAAGCATATTCTCATGCTGCCCTTTCAAGTCTTTAAGAAGAAATGGCCTTCATACAACCAAGTTCTGCATTTCAGTGAAGATCATTTCATTGAATTTTAATAAATTTGATGAGTTTCAATGAAGTTGAAGTGGTGGTTTATGAGTATGCATTTGTATGTAGAGGGAAGTGATTTGTCTGAGCATGTAGTCTGAGTGGGTGCTATTGAAAGAAGACATTGTATTAAAGAAGATCACCTTCTCCTTAACCTAGAACATAACAATTAAACAGGTCTTCTGACTTCTCCAAGCAAAGTTTTAGGAGATAAAGAGTTATCACACTTATGAAAATTAAATGATAGTCCTAAGAGATGACTCATGCTTTCAGAGGTTGTATTGTAAGACCACTAATAACAGTGGCACTAATGTATTTGGGTACTACTTAGAAATCTAGATGTCTAATGTACTTCAGGCATTTTTTCTGGGTCGCAGGAGGTTAGGAAGCCATCAGGGAATATAAACACAAGTGTGTTTCTTTAGACTAAATTCCTAGTTTGAAAACCTAATAATCTGTACTCTCACCCAGAAGAAAATTTTACATGATGGTTGTATAAACATATTTGTACTCACTGTTGTGTTTGAAGGTTCTTATAGTTGCACCTGAGAGTCTGGCCCCAAGCACAAGAGATGCATGGTTCAACTCATCACTTAAAATAAGGCAGCCCTTTGCAGAAAGGAAGCACAAAAAAACAGAAGCCAATAAATAAAATTAAAGAAAACAAAGCACATGGGAGCAGAAAGGCCTTTAAAGATCTATAGAACAAACCCTCCTTACTTCCAGGAAGCTAAGAATTGAATCTTGTAAATATGGACAACAATCTTATGCAACAGTTAATTGATGGAAATGAGAATTATTTTAAGGAATTAAATCTAATAATTTGCATATAAATTTCAAAAGACAGTCATTCAAGATACTGATTAAGTCCTAACTTGTATCTAAAGCATTGGTATTTGATGGGAAATTTGATGTATTTTTGGGTAGGATTTGACTTTGCTAGGATTTTTCAAACTCATGCTCAATTAATTATACATTGGCAAAAGTATCACTGTTGTGCAGTTAGTAACTTTATATTGAGAAAACTACAAATAGGCAATTATATACATAAATAAGGTAAGTGGAAAAGTTTAATCTATTATGTTTTGTAGAATTTTTATTTGTTTATTAAAATTTCTTCAAATTATCAGTTGCTCAAGTATACTTAAACTCCAGATACAAATAGGTGCTCTTCTTCATTTGTGGCTATCCAGAATCTTTCAGTTTTCATTAAATTTTAGAAACCACTTGCAACATACTTGGAGTTTTTTTGGCAGGAGTCAATAAAATTACCACATTTCATACAAAAGATGTGCTTGTGTGTGGGGGGGGTTGTGGTGGGGGGTATGCCTAGCATAGCCCATAGCTTACTCCTGACTCTATATTCATGGATCATTCCTGGCAGAGCTCAGGGGCCATATTGAGTGCCAGTACATGAACCCAGCTCAGCTACTTGCCAGGCAAGTGCTCTACCTGCTCTACTATTACTCGACCAAAATATATTTATATATATATTTTTTGGTGAACTCTTTAGAGCAACTTGTCAAAATCATGTTGCCTTACTCTTACATACTTTATCGTATGTTTACTAAGAATAAAAATATTCACCTACAAAATCACAATGAACTATTATTAAGAAATACAACATTTATATAATTAACATCTAATACACAGTTGAAATAAAAAAATTTCCCAGTAGTAGAAATTAAAAATTTCCCAATACTAACAGCATTGTAATCTTGTGGATAGAGGTATTCTTTTCTTACATATTTTTAATGTAGGATACAAAAGTTATAATTTGAATTTAGTTGTCACATTGTTTTTCTAACGCTTAAAATGAGTGAACCAATTCTTTAATTTTCATAAAGAATTCCAAATACTCTAGGATGATTTACATTAGTGTATCTAAACAGGAACCCCATTTTAGTCCCACCACGGACTCCCGGGATACTCAAAGGGGGCCACAGGTAAAAGTACATAAACTGAAGACCACAGTATGAGACGATGGGACCAACTGGTAGTAAGGGGAGTCATAGGAAGAAAGTAAGATCAGGAAAAGGGTAAGAGACACTGTTTATAATACAAAGTTTTTATAACTTTATAATAATTTATCTTAAAAGATAAAATAAAATTCAGTTCTCAGACTTTGAATTTTGCACAGGCTTCCCAGTCTTTTTCAAGAAGTTTGAGGTACATATTTTGTTTTTCCTCATATATGTATGTGTCTTTTTGTGGTATTTATTCTAGTACATTGTTGTCTCTTAGTAAACTCCAAAGTACATACATTTACAAATTCTAAGTAAAGTTTACCTTTGTATGACCTGAATCTTGCCTCATATGGAGATATAATAGGTTCTCAGTAAGCGATTTATTGAATAAATGAACAAATAAGAAAAAATGCTTTGTCCAAATCGAACTGTTTGCTATGTTTCATATAAGGACTTGGCAACCTAAAGTTTAGTGGAATTTATTAAATTGCTATTGCAAAAAACATTTTTAACCCGTATCTAGGACTGTATGTTTAGAATATCCTGCTAAAGAAATATGTTGGGCTAAGCTTTTAAAAAATGACATACAATTCCTTTCCTAAGAATAAAATTATTTAATTCATATAACTAACAATGACAATCTTTAGGAATAATACAGCTTCAGCCATCTTAACAAATTCCCACCTTTCCAACTAGTGCAGGAATATTCATTGAGTTCGTTGCAAATCCCATTCCAAAAACCATAGCTGCTTCCACATTCAGGAACTTTGCCACAAGTTCCTCTACTTCTTTGTGTTTATCCAAGGTTCCTGCACATGAAATGATAGGGTGAATGAATCTGATCTTTTCAAAAAGTCTACAATTGACAGTCCAAATTCCAGTACAAACTAGAGAGTATATAGCAAGTACTATTGCTGTAAAACAGAGAAAAAACACAAATGTCTATCTGCTGTGGAGTGTGTAAATAAATTGTGGATATATGCATATTTTGAAATTCATCACAATAGTAAAAAGCAGTAAATGACTACCCATACAAATATATAACAGTGAAATAAAAACAGAGAACAATAAACTCATACAGGTTGTATGTCAACTAATTTAAGTGTTAGCACTCAGAATAATGGCTTCTTTTGTTGGTGAGCTTTAAGACATTCTAAATGTTGGTGCTAGTTACATGTGTGATCTAGGTGCTAGTTACATGTGTGTTTGCTTTGTGGAAATCCATTGTGCTATAAACTTATGATTGGTCCTTTTTTTCTAGAGATATACTTTATCATGCAATAAAATGTAAGAAAGTGCCAGTGCTTCTTTCCCTCCATTCTGTAGCCCTCAAGCAGTTAAATTATAACCACCCCAAAGTGCCTCATACTCAAGTGCAAACAAATCTCATGGCTTCCATTGATATTAATAAATCTAGTTATATTTTTTAATGTTTAGAATGTGCTATATTTTAAATCCCATAATTTATATGATCTCATTTCATCTAAGAGGCTAATAATGCAGGTATTTTTCCTTCACACATAAAAAGATGAAATGTATATGGAAGTCAGATTTATAAAAATAATCTAGTCTAACTCCAAAGTTCATGTTTTACAACTATACTATCTTTAATATGCTTACACTATGATCCCTCCTTGTGCATAATTCCTTTCTGTGACCGTTTCTAAGAGCAAAGCCAATGCATCCCACACATTTTTATTTCCATCATTCTAATTTTCAAGTCTGTATTTCCTAACATGGTAGCCACTAGCTGCACTAGATTAGAACAATGTAACCGAGTTTTTAAGTTTTATTTAATTTCAGTTAATTTAATTTAAGTTTAGTAAATAAATTTAAGTTTGGTAAATATTGCTACAGTATTTACAAGAAACACAACTTGGGTTATTTTAATAAGGTACACTTCACTTATATCACCTTTACCAATGAAAATCTAGTTTCTGAATTGAGATGTGCTGTAAAGGGAAAATTAACCATTTTTTAAAGGCTTAGTTCAGTAACATAAATAATATAAAGTGTATCATTATAATATGTGTGTACAGATATGCTTTTGTAAAGGCCACACTTGGTAGTACTCTGGGGCCTCCAGACAATATCCAGCAGTGCACGTGATGCCAAGGATCACATTCAAAATTTTGCACATTTGTGTTACCCCTTGAGCCATATCTCTAGATCCCATTCATGTTTATATTAATTGGAGAATTATTGGCAGAATATTTAGGACTAATACATACATGCTTCTTTCAAAGATTAGCTTATTTGACTCTATGCAGTTTACCAAAGTGGGGAATATGCTTCCTTTTAGCTCACCCTGCCCCAAGTCCTGGAGTGATGGGTGGGGAAGACTACTTTGGGTACAATCGGGGATACTTTCTGTTTGCTCACTTCAAGTAGATTGAATTCCAGTAAGGGGTCTCTCAGCAACAGACTTTTTTTTCTTGAAAAATAACCCTTCTAGAGTATGATCTAAGAATTTTATTCAAATTAACACATTAATTGATGAGCTTGTTTATGTACTCCAATGGTGAGGGCTAAAGTTTAGAAGGCATTGATGAGAGTTCAAAGCTTTATCTTGCCCTTGTGATGTAAAAGTTTGCTTGATAACTGCTTTTGATCTTTCCTGAGAGGTCACAAGAAGTCATACTGCCGTATAACGAATGATTGTTGTAAATCACCTTAGATTTATTCACCAAACTTTCAAAACCATAGTGAAATATAAGCTGTCGCACTGTAGCACTGTCCTCCCGTTGTTTATTAATTTGCTTGAGTGGGCCCAGTAACATCTCCATTGTGAGACTTGTTGTTACTGTGTTTGGCATATCGCATACATCACAGGGAGCTTGCCAGGCTTTGCTGTGCAGGTGAAGTACTGTCGGTAGCTTGCCGGGCTCTCCAAGAAGTGTGGAGGAATTGAACCCAGCCGGCCACGTGCAAGGCAAATGCTTTACTGCTGTACTATTGCTCCAGCAGAGTGAATTTTGCTCAAATTGGGTTTAGGAGAGAAGTTAAGAAATTGGTTTTTGTTTGGGGGGCCACATCCCCTGCACTCATAGCTCTGTGCTCAGGGATCACTCCTGGCAGCTCTGGGAAGGACACTTAATATACAAGGAATGGGCCTTAGCCACTGTACAATTTCTTCAGTCCCACAGGTTAAAATTTAAGGTAAATTCAAGAGTTAAAAGAAAAATTTATATGTCAACATAAAGTGTGCACACAAAACAGTGTCAGAACTTTTGTTTTTCCCCTTGCAGAGACCGACTATCTTAAGGAGAATGGCTCCCAGGACAAGTACTAAAAAACTACCAGTCTGGGCATGAGGTCTGGAGTTCCAATTCCAGCTTACCTACACACTACTGCTGTAACTTCTAATGAACTTTCCTCACATATTTTTGAGAGTTAAGAAAAGTTCTAACCAGCTTCCCTGAGGTTGAGAGTACTCTTTCTCTATTTAGAAAGGTCAGTGACCTTTGCAGATCCCTCTTACTCATCAACTTAATCTTTTCTCAGATGCCATTTTTTCTTAGCTCCCTCAGGCAAATATTGTTTTTTCTCTTTTAGGAGATACAAAAGCATACATGAAATCAGCATACTTATTCAGTTGAACTGAGGACACTCAAGATGACATCTTCTCTGTTACAGAGAGAGCCCTAAATATCAGATGAGAAGTCAGACCATGTATATAGATTACAGTCATGGTATGAGATGAAACCAGGAGGATCATCTTGTTCTTTTACTTTTCATAGTGGGTACAGAAAACATGGGTTAAATTCACATTTCTGCCAAGTAGTACTTTTGATTCCTCCGCCCCTCTTGGAGAGCCTGTCAAGCTACGGAGAGTATCTCGCCTGCACAGCAAAGCCTGGCAAGCTACCCCTGACATATTCGATATGCGAAACACAGTAACAAGTGTCACAATAGAGACAATACTGGGCCCACTCAAGCAAATTGCTGAACAATGGGATGACAGTGGCAGTGACAGTGACAGTATTTTTGACATTCCAAATTCTCCTATTTTCATAGGATGTGGGAAATTATGGGTAGATAATGGCAAAGTCTTTAGTTTCCTCAAGTTGATATTATTAAGGAGGTGGGTGTGGTCTCCTGGTAATCTAGTTAAGACAATTGGTCATTTAAAATTTCACTAACACAAGTATTCAGTCTATTCAGACAGACAATGGAAATGGCTGAAGGGCAGGGACCAGAGCTCTTTAAGGTGGAATACAGGGCCAAGAACTTCCTCTTGATTCCTCTCTTTGATCTAGATGGACTGCAGCCTTGAACTCAGGGTAAATGGTAGGAAAAGAAGTATGTGACTGGAGAATCAAGAAAAATCAAAGGAGAGCTGGAGATATGGTGCAGGAGATAGGGTGCTAGCTTTGCACACAGTTGAGCCCGGTTTGATCCTTGGCACCCCATATGTTCCCCTGAGTCTGCTAGGAGTTGTCCCTGAGCCCAGAGTACCAGTGGGTACCATTGAGTACCATTGGGTGTGGCATCCCTAACCACCCACCCACCCACCCACACAACAAAACGAGTTAAAGGGACAAAGAGTAGCAGCATCAGCAAGGATGGGAAGACCACACAGCATAAGCGACAGACCAGAAAGATAGCAATGGATTTTGGGTGATAAAAATAGAGAAGCCAGTGTGGCCAAGAACAGTATACACAGGGACCAGCAAGGAACTATCACTCCTCTTGGACATCAGACAATGGGGAATCCAGAGCACCTTCTTACAACAGTTATAGAAATACCTATAACTGCATAAGCTGTGAATTTTTATATGGTAGTTTTATAAACAAATTTAAAAACAACACTTCAGAGCTAGTCAGTTTTGGAATAATGATATCAGTGGCTTTCAAGACATAGAAAAGTGACAATGTCAGCAAAAGCTAGTCTTATCCTTAGTATACTTGAGTGTTACAGGATTTTTAAGCTAAACAAAGTAAATGGGGCTAATTAAATCTTATATTTTGATGTATAATGTGTACAATTACGTACATATACTGGATTTGTGATACTTTTCCCCCAAAGTTCTGTTATGAAAAGCAGATTTAATAAATGTAAAGAACTTTGATTTACAAAGCTATTGATGGTTAAGTTTTAGGCATATGATACTCCAACACTAATCCTACCACCAGTGTCAACTTTCCTCCACTAGTGCTCCTATATTTCTTCCACACATCCAACCCTCACCCTATCTTCCCCTTTGTCAACTTGGCAGGCACCTTACAAATTTCCAGTGGTTGCAGCTTAGAGCTTATGTTTTCCATGTTGTTGAGTCTGTGTTTTGGATATATGGCTATACCACTCACCAATGTCACCAGTATAATGAAGCTCTGATGCCTGTTTACCCATTCATTCCTATTTTCCTCCCCCCTTGATTTTGGAAAGCAGCATTTTTGTTGTCAGTATGAGCAAAATTTTCATAGATTTTCAGAGAGAAAATATTTTTGACGGTCACAGCCCAATATTGCAGCTGTTGCAATTCAGTTACTATCAAGAGCAAGGACAGACTTTACACAAAAGATTGGGTGTGGCTGTGTTACAATGAAACCATGAATTTGAATTTTATGTAATTTCATATGTTGTAAAATACTCTTATTTTTATCTTTTAAACCACTTAAACTATAAGAATAGTTTATAATTTGTGGACAGTGCAAAAATAGGGTGTCAAGGCTGCTAAGGGTTAAGGTGATTGCCTCGTATGCAGGGGTGAGACCAACATCGCCACATATGGTCCTCCAAGCATTATCAGGAGTGATCCTAGTCACAGAAATAGGAGTAAGTTCTGAGCACTGTGGGCAAGGCCCG